CAAATATACATACACTTTTTCCTTTTTAGTTTCAACAATATATACTCATATATACATACTCTTAAAGACACACGTAAGTTTATTTTTACACATTTTATATATATTTATTTTATATCATATTATATTATATTATTGTGACATGACATGGTTTGCAGCTGGTAATCTTATTTTGCATTCTAAAGCGTGAAAATTAGGACTTTTTTTTTTTATCTTGAAAAAGGATTTACTGAGATCTTACATTGGAGCAATATTTCAAGATTTAGCCCATTGTTTCATACACAATCACTATTACTTAACATTATTTCTTACAAATTCTGCCAAATGATGAATTGTGTATCGGGTGGTGTTAAGATTAAGATTGAACAAAATTTGTAATTAACTGCCCACACCAAGAGTTTAGGCTCCTCTGCAACAACACATTTCAGAATTGACTCACACTCTTGTAGTGATTGTGATCAGTCCTCACTGTTGTGATAGTGGTCAATCCACACTGGTGGTCAGAAGGCCACTATCCTTCTATCATCCACTCTTCATGTTGAAGCAGAACTGTATATCATCTTCTGCATCTTCTGGGTGGCCTGCAACCACCCAAGATGGAGAAAAGTGTCCTGCAGTGGTCCAGGACAGAGACAGAGAGGGATACGTCCAACTCCTGCAGCAACTCTCAAGACTAGTCGGGGACAAAGGCCAGAGAACAGAAATGGAGCAGTCTTCTTGGGCCTTGTGTGGTTCTGTCTTGCCTTCACATGGGTAAAAAACAAGTAGACCCAAAAGACAAAACTGCAATATAATGGATCTAATAAAAAGTAACACAAAATCAAGATCCAGCAAAAACACAGGGACTGACGACAATCAGAGAAACAGATGGGAAATAACAATGACAGAACGGGGAGTGAAGGAACACATGGAGCTAAGGGCAGGGCAGGTAATAAGATAACAGGAGGCACAACCAAAGAACACAGGGATTTAAACAAAGTACAAAATAAAACAGGAAATACACTTAAACCATGACAGTTGTGACATTTGCCAGAAGGAACAGTCTAACAGTTGAGGCAGCGTTCACCTATTTCAATGCCATGATTGTTCCTCACATTTCATACTGTCCAGCTGGTCTCAGGCCAATAAGACTGCACTCAAAACCCTCAAATCAGTGTATAATCAGGCTTTAAAGGCACTGGACAAAAAACCACTTTGCTATCATCACTGTAATATTTTGAGTTTTACATTTTAATTGCATGCACTGGTGTGAGGATCACCATCTCATCATTAATGTAAAGAAGACAAAAGAAATCATCTTTGACCCGGGACATAAGATAAGATAAGATGTGCTTTATTTATCTCACATAGGAGAAATCTTGGAAATTGCACCCCGCTCTCCATCAATGGCTCAGAGGTAACCCAGGTACACTCATATAAATACTTGGGAGTCCACATTGACTCAAGTCTGGTCTGGGATGTACAGGTGAACTCTGTCTGCAGCAAGGTTCAACAAATACTCTTTTGTTTTTGCTCCCATTTTCGACTTAAAAATCTAAAATTAATTCCGGACACAATATTACCATTTCTCTCAAACATTGTTCACAAATTTGTCTAAATGTGTGATAGTGAGATAAACCATCCCACCTCACAGGTGTGCCACATCAAGATGCTCATCTGGCATCATTAGTGCTCAAGTGTGCCTTAGACTGTCCACAATAAAAGGCCACTCTGAAATGTGCAGTTCTATCTCACAGCAAAATGCCACAAGCATTGAGGGAGCGTGCAATCAGCATGCAGGAATGTCAACCAGATCTGTTGCTCGTGCATTGAATGTTCATTTCTCCACCATAAGCCGCCTCCAAAGGCATTTCAGAAAAGATGGCAGTACATCCAACCACGTGTAACCACACCCGCCCAGGACCTCCACATCTAGCAGGTTCACCTCCAAGATTGCCTGAGATCAGCCCCTGAGACAGCTGCTGAAACAATTGGTTAGCATAACAAAAAAATTCTACACAAACTGTCAGAAGCTGCCTCAGGGAAGCTCAACTGCATGCTCGTCGTTCTCATTGCGGTCTTGACCTGACTCCAGCTCGTTGCCGTAACACACTTGAGTGGGCAAATGCTCACATTGGATGGCGTCTGGCACGTTGGAGAGGTGTTCTATCCACGGATGAATCTGGGTTTGCATTGTTGAGGGCAGATGGCAGGCAGCGTGTGTGGCGTCGTGTGGGTGAGCGCTTTACTGACGTCAATGTTGTGGATGGAGTGGCCCATGGTGGTGTTGGGTTATGGTATGGGCAGGCATCTGTTATGGTCGAAGAACACAGGTGCATTTTATCGATGGCATTGTGAATGCACTGAGATACCGTGATAAGATCCTGAGGCCCATCGTTGTGCCATACATCCATGAACATCACCTCATGTTTCAGCAAGATAATGCACAGCGCCATGTTGCAAGGATCCGTACACAATTCTTGGAAGCTGAAAATGTCCCAGTTCTTGCATGGCCAGCCTACTCACCGGATATGTCACCCATTGAGCATGTTTGAGATGTTATTGACCGGCGTATACGACAGCGTGCACCAGTTCCCACTAATATCCAGCAACTTCGCACAGCCTGGGCAGCACGGTGGCTGCGTGGATAGCACTCTCGCCTCTCAGCTAGAAGGTACCGGGTTTGAATCCCGGTTGGAAAGGGGTCTTTCTGTGTGGAGTTTGCATTTTCTCCCTGTGCTTACGTAGGTTTCCTCTGGGGACTAATCTAAACATGGTTAAAAACTCCAAGAGATTTTTGAAATGTGTCCACACTGAGACATTTGGCAAATCATAATGTCACTGAGCGCTGCATATTGTGACACTGTCGTGTGGGAGAGATCCGTCAGCTCCGGACCCTCCTGTTCTACACTGTTCTGACTGTTCTGACTGTTCTGGACGCCATTGCTCCTGTGACGGTTAAAATAGTTACCAGTAAGAAAAAGGCCCCATGGACTAAGGCAGACTCGGTCAGGGCACAGAAGCAAGAGTGCCGGAGGGCCGAACGGAAGTGGCGAAAGTCCAATTTCCAGGGCGATTATGAAATCTTTAAAGATGAGTTGGGTAAATTTAACCAGGTTCTACGTAGAACAAGAGAAATGTATTTTTCTGACATTATTGGAGGTTGCAGTAACAATTTTCGTGTTATGTTTTCAACAGTTGGTAGATTAACAAACCCCCCTGTAAAGTTGCCCCTAGAATTTTCCTCTAAATCTAGGTGTAATGAGTTCGCACAGTTTTTCGATGACAAAGTACAAGGAATCAAAAACACTATCACCTCCACAGCACGTATAACAATGCAACAGCCTGAGAAGCTTTTTGAGCTAACTCACTTTGCACCTGTGGATACTGAAACTGTCAAAAAGATAATCATGAGTCTGAGCTCCTCCACATGTAGCCTGGATATATTGCCCTCTAAATTTCTGAAGTCCGTCCTGAGCAGTTTGTTACCTTCACTGACACAAATAGTAAACATGTCTCTGTCGTCAGGAACATTTCCTATGGCCCTAAAAACAGCAGTCATAAGACCTCTCCTAAAAAAGAGCAGTCTGGATCCTGCGGGACTTCAAAATTATTGCCCCATATCGAATCTGCCATTCATTGGAAAAATTCTTGAAAAAGTGGCCTCCCAACAACTTACTGAATTTTTAACAATGAATAATTCTTTTGATATGTTCCAGTCTGGGTTTAGACCCCACCACAGCACTGAGACCGCTCTAGTGAAGGTAACAAACGACATTCGACTTCACACTGATGCCGGTAAAGTCACAGTTTTGGTCATGTTAGATCTTAGTGCCGCGTTCGACACTGTCGACCATGAGATCCTCATGCAGAGACTGGAGGACTGGGTTGGTGTCACTGGCACAGCCCTAGACTGGTTTAGGTCTTACCTGGAGGATAGGAAGTACTTTGTGGAGATTGGAGACTGCGTCTCAGATCATGTGGCCCTGACCTGTGGAGTACCACAGGGGTCGATTCTGGGACCTCTCCTATTTAATCTCTACATGCTGCACTGTAAAAAAAAAAAATGTGTTTTTTACAGGAAATCGCTGGTAGCTGGAGTCACCAGGAAATTCCTGTAAAAAATACAGTTGCACAGTAAATAGGTTTACATACAGAACTGTAAATCAATTTACAGTAATTAAATGTCAAGAAGAACCACATAAAAAATCTGTTAAGTTGTCAGTTAAAGAACGTTATAATAGCATAATTGTATTGTATTTAGACTAACAGTTTCCTGTGTATTATACAGAAAATATGTGCTTATTGTGCATCAAACACCTGTTAAATTTACAGGGACTTAACTGGTAGAATTACAGTGAAAGTAAGTTTTTTGTAATGTGATGTTCTGCATTTAATACATAAAATCCTTGAATAATATACAATGTTTCCATGTTCTAATAAGCAAATTATACACTGAAAAGAATCTACCAACCCAAAAAAATACCACATAAATGTAAAGTATCACATTTATTTAGCAGCCAGCATTGTAAACATTTTTTGCATCAATCAAGAAGAGTTACGTTTGGGATAAAAAAAACCACAACATCCTACTCATCTAATTGGAAAACATACTAGGCTTTACAGACTTGCAAGAAAGATCCCTTTGCTGAGAGCTGTTGGAGTGAGGGTGGTCCTCTTTTTCACTCTTCTCTCTGAAAAAGTCCTTCTTAAAATGTGACAGACCAACTTGTCAAACATGTATGAAAACTAATGACAGAGCCAGGTATCAGTGAACTAGGTTTTATCGGTAAACTAGTCTAGTCTGTTTTCAGTACAGAACTAAATACCTTTTCAAATTCTCATTTTTGTCTATTTTGGACATAAATTCAGACAACTGGTTTCGAACACAATACCCATAGACTAAAGGCCTATGCAAATATGACTCTTGAACAACAACATGCACATCAGCAGGATGCAATTATACAAACAAACAATTGCTTTAACAAAAGTGCATCAAAGAACAGCCAAAAGTCCACATCTGCTTAACGCCACTCATGGTCAGAAAGTTCCTGTATCAGGGCGAGTACTCGGGGGTTCATGTTGAGATGTCTCTTGTTATTCTCCACTTTGGTTCCTTTTTCAGGATTTATGGAGAAGAAGCATCTGTAAAATACATTGAACCAAATAAGCATTTGAAATGCATTGGTAAAAGAAAGTATGTATTTAAAATAATAATATATAATAAAAAATATATATATAAATAAATACATTTGCATATTTCTTGGTACACAGAGATAGAGAGAGCTAGAGATAGAGAGATGGTTAGATAGAGAGAGATGGATAGAGAGGAGAGATTTAGAGAGATATGGATAGAGATAGAGACAGAGATAGAGAGATGGATAGAGGGAGATGGATAGAGAGAGATATGAAGAGATAGAGAGAGGGAGAGATATAAATAGAGAGAGGGATATAGATGGATAGAGATAGAGGGAGAGAGAGTGAGAGAGATGGATAGAGAGAGATAGAGGGAGAGATAGATGGATAGAGAGAGAGAGAGAGATAGATGGATAGAGAGAGAGAGAGGGAGAGATAGATGGATAGAGAGATATAGATGGATAGAGAGAAAGAAAGAGAGATAGAGATGGATAGAGGTATAGAGAGATTTTGATAGAGATAGAAATATGGATAGATATAGATAGAGACAGAGATATAGAAAAATAGAGATAGATGGATAGAGAGACAGATAGTTTGAAGCAGATGATTGCTTGCTCACCTTTGAAGAAACTCAAGAGTGGAACCCAGTCCAGACGGATAGTGTATATTGAAGCAGTAGAAGCTCCCAAACATGAGGCACAGAGCAGATATGAATGAAGAGATGGTTCCATTTGTGATCTCCCGGTCTACACTCAGCATGTACCTAGTGGCTGAATAGCAGGACTGCCCTGTGAACAAAATATTGGAATTATTATTCATAAGTACATAACGCGTAAAACCAAAATGAAGCATACTTACCACAGACAACAACGGCTGGTGTCAATGGCAGTTGTTCCAGCTGGACTTCTTCAGCCAGACATGTATCGTCTACATAATTGAACATAGACTCCTCCTTCTCATCAAAATAATTGAGCAGAAGCAGGATCATCTCTTTCACGTCTGTTGTCCTCGCAGCCTCTGAAGCCTTGCATATTCTTGGAGGAATTTGTCCCTTTTTTTCACACAAACATGTCATGTAGTTGAGAAGCCTTTTCCCCTTCAAATCCAAATTTCGTGTGAATGTCTCTTGAAGATCTAAACCAGTTAGCTCTTTGTAGTGGATGGACATGCCAAGTTCATTAAACAAAAATGGCCACTCATCACACAGGTGTCTTATACTTTTTCCCTGGTTGACATGGAGGCGCTGTGTGTAATAGGTGGACTTCATTAGGCACTTTACCTCCTCTGGATTAACATTTGAACTGTTTTTCATCGTCTTGAGTTTTTCAATCTTTTGCTGCTGGCTTTCTTTTGTTTCCTCAAGAGGCATACATTTAACATTCCACTTAATGCAGCCATAGGTATCCTGCATTGATGCAGTCTCTTCGATTGGAATTTCATCAGTGTGGTCAGAATCATCAGCTTGACGTTTTCTTTTTCTTATTTTGGGTGTTGAGCTACGCTGCACGTTTTTGATTCTGTTCTGCAATTGTTTAACCAGAGAGTAGTAACCAGTCCCAACGACATTCCCCTCTATAATATCTTTGAGAGAGTTAGGATATTTTACCACATCTACTGCTTGCTTTTTTCCAATACGTGGACCTTTTTCCATCATCTCGGTCACAACAATCCGGATCATCTTCCGTCTAAGTTTTGGATCCAATCGTTTTCCCCTTTCTAAACATTGAACCAAATCATCAGGGAATTTTTGCCATGGAATTTCAAAGTCTCCACACTGCGTGGTGATTCCTGAGCTGCTGGAGGAGGTTGACGATGAACTTTGAGGTGAAACAGAGAGGAATGATAAAGATCTTGCAGGTGAGACTTCCACAGATGATGAACTGTTCTCAGGTGTTTGATCTATAAAAAAATACAAATAAATCACTTAGGAAATCTAAACAAAGTATGTCCTGAACTGCGGTCATAAATTTTTTGAAATGATTCAATTACTTACATTTCTGTTTCCAAAAAGAAAGGAGTCGCCTCGCTTGTACAGGTCTTAATGCTGTCAAATCTTCATCCTTTATGAAGCGGGGATCATCATAAGTCTTTACTCCAATGGCCTGCAGTTGTTTTGTTACAGCAGGAAGATCTGGTAGGACCTCAAAGATGGCTTGATCCAGAAAGTCACTCATTATTTACTAAGGGAGAAGGTAAAATACATTAATGAACAGGTACTATTTACAGAGTTAAAACTATAGAACTATTATTGTTTCAATAATATTTGTGTGTGTGAAAAAAAATATATATATTTTTGCCTTGGCAGATTTGCAAGTGTAACTTGGACTGTGTGTGTCTGTACCCAGATTTGTGTGTGTGTAATTTGTCATTTGTATCTGTAACAGAACAATCTGTGTGTAAATAACCACGTTGTAAGAAGAGAAGAACGGAAAAAGCCTAAGTGCTACGCACAAGCTCTCGTTTTACACATATATACTGGATATATACATATATATCCAGTATGTAACATGTTTGCACATTTTCTCCTTTTGCACAATCTGAGTGTCTATCCATGCCAAATGTGACATGTAAATTTCTTCTATGTGAGATAAATAAAGCACATCTTATCTATACATGTCACCAATACCATCAGGGGAACACGCAGTATGCTTTCAAAGTTTCTACTCATATGAGAAGTAAATGTTGATTTTTTTTGTGAAAGCGTGGTTGCAGCCTTTCACTGGACAAGACACAGACCTGCCCTCTCCAAAGTGATCTTTTAAATGGCACACAAGCTCTTTTACAGTGTCAAAATGGCGGCCACACAAGGGAACCGCGCATTTTAAAATGCCAAGTACCACTTGGGACGTGATGTAAAAATGTACATTGTGAAGGCGATAAAAGTGTCCCCTAAAAGCAGAGTACGTTGTAAATGTTTGAATACAATTGGACTCAACACATTTAAACACACAACGAGGTTCATTTCTGTGTACTCTGCAATGTAGGACATTGGCTTTAGACGAGGCAAAAGTCTTTCTACAAAAGAAGCACGTGATCATTGCGAAAATGATGTTTAATTTCTCACATGAGCTCAAAGTAATTTATAAACTGGTTATAAACTGCGACTGAAGGTGCTAGCCTCCACCGCGCTAGCTTACACCGCGCTAGCTTACACCACCTTACACCATGTGCTAAAACAAATGTAAATGCTTACTCTTAAATTTCCGCAACAGACACGGGTCAAAAAGACTATGGCAAGGTATCCAACTAAATAAAGCAGGCTGACAGCGAAAAGCTCGGCACTTTGTTCTCTGGTAGTCCGTGGGCTCGTTGTAGCGTTGTCAGAGTCAGTGCGAGGACGTGGAGCTCGAATGGGGAGCGCGCGGCGCGTGCTTCTGCTGCTGCTTCCGCCCACAGTCGTTATCCAATCAAAAACTTTTGATTTTTGAATTTTGAAATACAACATTTTCACAAACTATCATATTGTTGAGTAAAGGGTTAGATCATGATGGATACACGTGTAAAGATACATTAAATAAAATAATAATTATTATTATTTTCTATTCATAAAACAACAATACATGTGGTTTTAATTTTATAGTGGACAAAGAATACAAATTTCAAAAGTGCACATTGAGGTATAGCATTCGGCCTTGTTAGTTATTCAGCCTGTGATAAATCATAAAGCTTTATATTATATCTGTTATTAAAACATATACAGGAGGTTTTGTACGAGGTCTTTTGTTCCATCATAATTAGAGAAGTAACTTCTGTATGCAAAGTGATACACTTCCAAAATGCTGCATTTAAAATTATAACAAAAACCGTGATGAAAAACATTTGATCTCAATGTTCACTGTTTAACAGACATGTTGAAAGTATCAACCAAAAATGTAAAGTCACTTACATTCTGGAATGCTTTTGAAATAACTGGCAAAAATGTATTTTCTTACAAATGTTTAATGTAATGTCAACATAATAATTTCGTTTTTGGTGTTACAATATTTAACCGTTTTAATTACCGTAAGATGTATTTTTAACAAATATATTTGATTAAAATGGCATCTCGTTCCTGTAAACACTACATTTATTATTCGTTACATTGTTTACAAATAATGTATGTGATTTCAACAAAATTCCTTTGTTTTTTGTTTTACCATACAAAACTGTAGGGATTTCACAGAGTTTTTCTGTAAATTTTACAGTCTTTTTTTACATTGTGCCGTTAGGTCAGTTAATACAAAGAAACAAAGTGTCCTACCACAATTACGCCGACGACACTCAGATCTATGTCTCACTGACTGCAGGAGAACATGGACCACTGGATTTGCTCCTTAACTGTATCCAACAGATCAGTGACTGGATGCAAAATAATTTCCTCCAGCTAAATGCAGACAAAACCAAAATCATTGTCTTTGGTCCCCAGAAACAAAGAGAGGGCGTCATTTGTCAACTTCAGTCTCTCTCCCTACTTCCTTCAGACAAGGTCAGAAATTTGGGGGTAATACTGGACTCAGACCTAAATTTCAATAGCCACATAAAATCAATAACATCAACAGCTTTTTACCATCTGAAGAACATTGCCAAAGTTAGAAATATAGTGTCCAGGGCAGACTTGGAGATTCTTGTCCATGCATTTGTCTCCAGCAGGCTAGACTACTGCAATGGCCTGCTTACAGGTCTGTCCAAACAGACCTGTAAGCAGCTGCAGTACATCCAAAATGCAGCAGCTAGAGTCCTGACAGGAACCAGGAAGTATGACCATATTAGTCCGGTCCTCAGGTCTCTGCACTGGCTTCCTGTGGCTCAGAGAATAGATTTTAAAACAGCTCTGCTTGTGTACAAGTCTCTCCATGGCCTTGCACCAAAATACATTAGTGACATGTTGGTGTCATATGAACCAGCCCGGACTCTGAGGAGCACAGGGACTGGCCTCCTGCTGGTGCCCAGAGTGAGAACCAAACATGGGGAGGCTGCGTTTCAGATCCATGCAGCTAAGATCTGGAACAATCTCCCTGAAAATGTGAGGGAGGCGTCTACTCAGTCAATGTTCAAATCCAGGTTAAAGACTGTTCTGTTTGCCTGTGCATACAACTGAAGGATTTTATCTCCATTTCTAATGCACTGTTGTCATTTATTTATTTTTTTTTTTAAATTTCTTGTGTAATTTTGAAAGTTTTAATGGTTTTATTCTTTTGTGTGATTTTAATGTTTTAATTGTGTTTTAATCTTTTGTGTGATTTTAATGTTTTAATTGTGATTCTGGTGTTTGTTTTATGTGATGATTTGTGATGTGGACTGTGAAGCGCTTTGTGTTGCCCTGTGTATGAAAGGCGCTCTACAAATAAACTTTGATTGATTGATTGATTGATAATGATGGCTGTTGTAATTGGCACCCAGTGTAACCATGACATATCTGACACAATCTCTGTGCACCTGGGAGTGCAGGCGCAGGTCAGGCCAGTGTTGTGAACGCTCAGTGCACCTGTGTGCTGCCTCGGGCCTGACTCCTCTTTTTCTCCTGTCTCTGCTGCCTCTGCCCCTGTTCACTGGTAATAATAGGAAATAAATCATGTACAGTGTGAGGAAAATCTCAACTGTCACTCACCCCTCCCAGGAGGACAGCACACCTGCAGGCTGGAGCTGCACACACAGACCCTGGCATTGTTTTGGGCACCAGGTCTCCCATGTAACTGGCAGATTTGTGAAATATTAGATAATAATAGTTTTATGTAGAGCTTTTTTGGACACTCAAAGACGCTTTACATGTCTTTATCACCACTGTGTAAGGAGTGAATAAATAAAGTACTACTGTAGCCACAGCTGCCCTGGGGCACACTGACAGAAGCAGGGCAACCAGTATGTGCCATCGGCCCCTCCGACCATCACCAACCATTCACACACACACCAGACTCATTCTAGGCAATGGTGGTGAAGTGTCTTGCCTAAGGACACAACGGCAGTTTGGCACTTTACAGCCGCCCCACTGTGGCACCTAGTCAGCAGACA